AAAATTACAATTTTTGTCATTTCTATAAGTTTTTTTTCTATAGATTTTATACAGTTTTAGTTTTTTTGTTATTTTAGTACTTCCAACTTAAACTAAATGAAAATGAGAAAATATTATAATTTTTTTTTTTTTTTTTTTTTTTATTTTTTTTAAATTTTTTTTAAAGAAATAACTAATTTTACATTGAACTTTTACATTGTTACAAAAATGTTTATAAAGTTTTAGTTTATTTTTGGTTATTTTAGTACTTCCAATTTAAACTAAATGAAAATGAGAAAATCTGAAATAAGATGTTTTTTTTGTTTTTTTGTTTGTGGTAGTGAATCATAACAACCCTGCCTCATCATCATCATGTTTCTAAAATTATAAAATAATTTGAAATTTAAAATAAAAACAAAATTAACTCAAACCATGGACATTCAAAGAAACCAAAATTGTGGTTGTTGTAATGTTGTACTCTAACCAATAGATGGCGATAAAACTGCAGCAAAACCAGCAGCTGGACATAAAAAAAGTCTACTGTCTCAGCTGGAACTGAAGTGAACAACATATTATTATATTCTAGGCCTAACTATGAGTTTATAGTATCTGCATTTATTCTCTGTCTGAGAGACGAGATTTCACTCATAAATAACAGCCATAATTCTTCACATTAGGAATTTATTTCTATTGATTGATTTAACTGTCATTCAGATTGAAAACACACCGTGCTTCCTTGTATGGTTAGAAAAGCCATATGAAACTTAAGAAAATTTGTAGCGCTCCAAATAAGACTGCAGGTGCGTAGAGCCAAGAAGAACAAAAATGTAGCTAGCCGCACACTGAATCCAATGCAGACTGGAAAAGTCTAGAAAACATTTTTTTTATTTTATAAATTGCATCATGCAAAAAAAGTGCAGAGTGCATGTGAGTTAAAAACAAATGAACACGAGCAAGCAGACATTTCTTCAGTGCTACCTTTTCCAGTCTGCACTGGATTCAGTGTGCGGCTAGCTACTTTTTTGTTCGTTTTCTAGAAAAGCCATATGCCCACAACAAAAAAATGTCTGAAGATCAAATGCTGTTCCTTAAATGCTTGTTTAAGCATAAAATACATGTGACTCACATCCAACATTATTTGTATTTATTTAATTGTTTTTCAAAAACAACCAAATTTACCAAAACTGCCATGCATACTCTTATCAGAACATTTCATTTGGTCCTGCTGTTCAGTTTGGAGACACAGAAGGGAATAAGACAGGGAAGAAAAATAAATAAGAACAAATGATTACGATAGGAACAGAGAAATTCGACATGAACAGCAAAAATGCTCCAACATAGAAATAAACTCACCACACACACCATTTCAAATACACACTAAGCTGTTTGTTCAATTGCCTGAGCATGATAGTCCTTCCAACAGTTGTTCAAACTTGAAATAAAATCCAGTAATAAAATTTATAATGCACTACTTCCATAAAAGCTATCAAATGTCCTTTTTTATATAGTTAATAGAGAAAAATACCCTAATAGAGATACAAAATTTGCTTAAGCTGTACCAAAAGATGGACAAAAACTTTCTCCTCAAATATATAAAACTTTTTTCCTCTTGAATCGTGGTCAACTATAAAATTCATCAGATTTATTGCACCCTATTGCCTTTACAGTTCTTGTTTTCCATTGAAAATATTTTTTTTCTATTTTTGATTTTTCTCATTTTCTCGTTGTTAGACTTGTGCTTAAAACAAGAAAAATGCCAACAAACTTAATTCAGAAAATACATATTGTCTGAAAACATGTCTTAATAAAAAGTAAATGTATCTTGTTAGATATTTAGATCATTTTTACTGAAAAAAACCCCCAAGAAAAATACTGATTAAAAAATGACTTTTGTTGTTGTAGAGTGAAAGTCTCTTCCTAAGTATTGGTCCCAGGCCTCCCTCGTCTCTTCCACAGTTCTGAGGTCTCCATGATGAGTGACATTTGCCCTTATAAAAAGCTGCTCACTCGTTCTAATCCCTCCACTCTTAGAAAATAACCATTTATGCCATCTTTGGGCCAGTACTTCACAACTCGTCCTTGTGGGTGGCGCTCTGCAGGCCGGCCGGTGGCTGATAACCCTTGAGAGTTTTATGCGAGCCCTTCCAGTCCGTGCGCACATTGTCGTCATCCCACAGCGTAGACGTCTCTGTGTCACTCACCCACTCTGGGTCCCCGGCGTAATGGCAGGGCTGCACCAGAAGGGGGTGTGTGGAATACACCATCAGATTCCGATTGGGAAAATGGGATTTGTAGTCCTCACTATTGAAAGAAAACACCAAAATAAAAGTTTTAGTAGCCGAACTCTTTAGTAGCTTGAACTCTTATGATTGTAGGCTT